TTTAAATGCATTTTTCTTAATGTCTTTCATTTTTGTAAAGCACTTTGAATTGCCTTGTGTTGAAAGGTGCTATATAAATAAACTTGCCTTGCCACGTAGTCTTATCCCTGAATGAATAAATTAAACTTTTTAGACACACAGAAACAGAGGGATAGCCCGGTGACCTATCTACTGAATTTTACAAAGGAAAAATAATAATCAATCAATTCACTTTCAACATAAAATGTCTGTATTTTTTTTAACTCCAAATAATAAATCAGTACATCAAACAAACAAACTCATGTCACAGACCATTTACTAGAAACTTAACTCCAATACATACAAACAAATAAGTCAAGTTAACTCACAAAACATCAATAAATCACGGGGATTGACTGTGAGTGAGTGTGGGGGAGGGGAGAAGTCTTTTTTGTCCTTTGTCACTCAGTCTAGGAGTGTTTTTCAGGGGATAAGGATGTGTGAAAGTAAAGTTGTAAAGTTCAGTTTTTCCTGTGTGTGTGTGTGTGTGTGTGTGTGTGTGTGTGTGTGTGTGCATGCATATAGAGTGTGAGAGGAGGAGAAATGATATTGGTGTAGTGAGAACCACTTATCTGAGGGTGACAGGCCAGAATAGCTCACTGGATTGCAGGGTTAACTTGGAAGGGGAAAGTTGAATGTTTCCCCAACAGCTCCTGGGTTCAGCGGCAAAAACTCCCAAAAAATAGCCTGATTCAGCTGATGAAGTCCTTAAGAATCCACCTTTCTCCTTGCTCGATTCCGACTTCCTCTTGCTTCTTTCTCCCTCCTTCGAATGACATGCTGTCCTCCTTTTAACAGCACACAGGTGCCAATCATTCTCTTGATTGGTTTCCTCCAGCTTCTCTCAGGGGTGCTTGATTAGCCACTCCCCTTTTTCTCAGGGAATCTGTCGGGGTGTTTACTTTCTCCCTGTCCTGCTACAATGTTACCTATCCTTTTATTATGGGACAGTATCAGACCTAGATGCAATTTATTTAATCTATTTTAACATTTAAGAGCAGCAGGATGTGCGGTTCTCAAGTTAGAAATGGACAGGAGTTCATTATAACTGATATGTGCAGATCTATAGAGGCAATATTTGACTAATTGTGTCACTCCACGCTGTGGTCCTGTCTATAGGAAGATTTGTTGTTGCTCAATATTACAGAGATTGCAGTCATTGTCTGCAGGTATTTATTTGTGTTTGTAATATGATTTTATTCTTTTTATTTAAGGTTTGATGCATGTCCATAATAAGCTGGTGGACCCAGTGCTCAGCATAAAGGACCAGTGAAGGACAGACGGTGGAATCAGCTTGTTCCTCTGCTGCTGTTCAGTTCCTGAGGAGGTGTTGAGCAGTGTCTCAGTGTCCTCCTGTTTGCACACGCTCAGACCTGAGCTGCTCCTGGAAGATGTCTCAGAGTTAATGACAGCTACATGATGTAAGGAGACATTCTTAGTTCAGAACGTTCCATTTAAAGGGATAGCACCCTGCTGGTCTTCAACTTTGCTCAGTATGAGAACTTTAAAATAATGACAGATAACCTTCATTTTGTTAAATGTTTTAAATGAACCCACACTATCTCTGTTCTCCAGGAAAAGGGTTATTTTGTATTATTATTTAATATAGACTTTTATTTACTTTCTTTGTTACACACCCAATCCATGATTGGACAGAGGAAACAAATACTCTGTGAATATCGGTAATATCTAATCAGCAATTATGGCACTTACTAACTTACAAAGTGACCTTAGTCTCTGGTCAAACAGAGATTTTGAATGTCTGGATCCAAGGGATGTGAAGTGTGCTCTCCTTTCTCTAGAGCCCACCACGGTTGAGTGTTACAGAAGAACACAAACATGAGGATTCTTTTTTCTTTTTGCACATAGGTTGAGCAGCTCCACTGAAGCAGTGTACTGTCGTTTTGGAGAAGTACAATATATCGTTTTACAGTGCTTTTTTCCCCCCAGCTGACTTTCAAATGACTGTTAAAGCTCCTTCAACGGCGTCTGGATTGCATTTTTTTAACACTGCCCGTGCAGTCAGTATCCTGCAGACTTTGATTTAAGTGTGAAGGGGAGATACGTTTCTATCTTTAGTGTTTACTTTCTGTTCTTGGTGTCACTCCGTCTGTTCATCAGGCTTCTTCTTCTTTGTGTTTGTGCACAATCTCTATAGTTTTTAACACTTTATTTTGTAAAGACAAAACATTGAGTGTCCTGCTTTGTACTTTGAGTTGAAATAAAGTTTAAGTGGAAAATGATGTCCACTTTCATTCTAACAGTGAAGCATTCTCTCCACAGTGGGGCAGTCACTCCTAAGAGTCCAAACCAATGGAAGCTGTACTGATGAGATGCAGTGTGATGGTTTGATTCCCCAGCATTCAACTTTTCAGCATGTTACATGCCTTTTGAATTATACCAGAAAAATAAATCACTAATTATTGATACAATGTCAAGCCCTCAAACAGCCCAAACCCCCTACAGGAGCAATTTAGGGTTACGTTTCTTGCCCAATGACACTTCCCTATAACGACTGCAGGGGCTGGGAATCGAACCGCTGACCCTCTGTTTGGTATACACCCGTTTCAACCCTGAGGTTTTCACTTGCCGTGCAGTTACAGCCACCAGATGGTGCCGTAGTATAAAACACCACCAATGAAGTCTATGAAGTTATGCATGTAAAGGAAATTGGTAATCACTCGTTACAAAACAAAGTAATTAAATCCAAAAGTGTTACATATACAGTGTCCTGAGTATTCTGAGTGCAGCAGTTTGAAACACGTCACACTGAGCTGCCTGTCTGAATCAGGTTCAGTCTGACACAGGAAGCTGTGCTGCGTTAGCATTTCTGCCCTTCTAAAATTCATGTTGCTGATTAAATATGACATGTATAAATACTGAGTAATTACTGTATTATGATGCAGTGATGCTTGGCAGCAGGGAGACAGCAGCTCCGAGTTTCATTTTCTTCTCACGCTTGCTTTTTGCTTTTTTTATTTATGGTAAAGCAAACATAATGGTGGTAATTTGAAGGAAAATACACAGAACCAAAACTCGATCCAATTTACTCAATCTTTATTTGTAGAGCCAGGAATAGGTATGAACACCACATGAATGTTCAGCATGCACATACAGATAGTGGACCAGGAGGAAAACTGATGTTCTTCTTGTTAGTCAAACACTCTCATATCATCAACATAATTTATAGGTATTAATGGGGTAAACCTGTTTGAAAACCTGTATTGCTCCACCAGCAGGGACATAATATATTGTTACAGCAAAGTTGATAGTGTACATTAAAGGTCAAATATAAATAAAGGGGCAACCGTCAATAAAAAATAATTATTGAAAATCAAATAGTACACATCCAAGTAGCAGCAATATCAAAGAAAGTAAACATATAACCTAGTCCTGTAGTTACAGCCAGTAATAACCTTAAAGGTGGGGTAAGTAAGTTTGAGTAACCGGCTCGAGATACACTTTTTGTTATATTCCATGGAATGCTCTTAACATCCCGATAGCAATGAATATCTTAAGTGCTTAAAAAATGTCATCTGTGGAAGCCGTAGTACTGTAAAAAGCACGACCAATCATCTGAGCCGGCCCGGCTAAAGTAACTGGATGGCCTACCTGCCTGTCAGCCTTCCATCTGTGCACAAACTTATCTCGTGCCCTCATTGGTCATGTGCGCGTTTGTGTGTGTTGGAGGAGGGGCTCTGTAAGGAAGTGGCAGATTTTTTCCGGTTGTGTATTTTCAAATTCTAGCGCACTCTAGCTGGTTTCTCCAAAATTACCTACCCCACCTTTAATATATTGTTAAATATATATATATATTGCAGTTTTATTTCAACAGTCTTAGGTAGTGAGTTAGCAGAAGTGATAATAATAGTAATAATAATATTAAATGTTAAAAGAGATATACTACACATAAGTGGGGTGTGTGTGTGTGTGTGTGTGTGTGTGTGTGTGTGTGTGTGTGTGTGTGTGTGTGTGTGT